CAAAAACATGGAAGGCGAAATTTTGGATGGACGCTGCCTTAAGGTTTAGGATGAAAGGGGACTACGAAATTTTCGAGATCAAAGGAGACTTCGATTTGAAGTTACCAGCTCGTGCCGAGCCCTGAAACGAAGATCGTACGAATAAACGAAATTGTTGACTTCCGAATGTGCTTCAATTAAGATTATGTTATGGATGCAGATTCATTTCGGCGCTAATGAGAACATCAAAATATTGTTTATAGAAAATTCTTCGAGAGGAAGAGAGAATGGAGGGAAATGAAAGAGTTTCGCGAGGGGGTAAACAGAAAAATTTCCTACAATGAACGATCGATCATCAGTGACATCCTAAGACTTCCAACCCTTCTTGACCTCACTTATTTCTTAGTCATCATCAAGCAAATGACCATGTTTTTGCGTGAAAGCACATGACATGGAATATTTTTTTAACTTCCGAAATTGTCTCCTTGTCAATAGATAACTTTCTGAATAGTAAACAACTGTCGTGGCAAGCATTTTTTCACTGATCACGGGATTTATTCGGTCAATTTTACTGACGGAAATCGGAGATCACAATTGATATCTTGCACAACAGAGTTTTTCAGATTGGAGACAAATCAAAAATATCACTGATGTAGAGAATATCGCCGATCTACCAGAGCATATTCAAAAACTTCCTGAGCATGTTGGAATATTCTCATTCTCGTGCCGCATGCCGGGTGCCGAAGGAAGCGAAGAGTTCGATTTCGACTACTGCAAAGATTGGTGGAATGTAATGAGAAATTAATCGTAAGCCTGCTTTGTGCCAATTAATTCTCGCTCTTTAGAACTTGAAAACATGGGAAAAAGTGGTGACTGTAGCGATGGTGGTGGCAGCAGTTGTAGAGTTGTTTGCCCTGGTCTGGGACGTACTTTCAGCGTAAGTTGGACAGAAAAAAATTACAGTTTTTTCTCCAATAAAGTACAATTTTCCAGGCTGGCCTGCTGTTGTAAGTCGGCATTACTGACTCCGCTGACATTAGCCGCTTTTTGCGCAACTGTCGCTCTCGCTGTGGCCGTCGGCGTTTACGGGTACAAGAACAAAGAAGCATTTGGTACGTCGTAAAGTTCAGCAGCATAGTTTTCGATTTTGAACAATGAATCGCTTTTACAGAAGGTGTAAAGGATCTTGACGACATCAAGAGCAAGCTCGATAGTGAGGCAAGTTGCTTTTTTCGAGTGTCTACTTACCAGTAAAGGGCCCAAAATCATTGGCGTTTCAAAGTGAAATGGATATCTACATGCAACTGTTCGTGTCTCATGATTTTTTACCCTTTTTATCCTAAACATCAGCATTGCTCGAGGACTGAGGCACTTACAAAGGATACA